GGTATTCCGCGGAGTTTCGTAGGCACCGAAGGATGGAGACGCAGAAGAACGAGCAACGGGAGGAGGAGAAGCAGGAGGAGGAGGAGGGCGACGATGACGACGACGAGAAGGAGCAGAGAGGGGGGGGCTGAAAAAAACGTTGGGGACGATGCGATGCTGTGAACAACGCCCCGACACGCCTAACGTGCTCTCATAGTTCGATATCGTCCCTGAGACGGCCGAAGCCACAAAGCATGCATGAAGAGTTGGGGAAGACTTGGGGTGAGACACCCCGACTGGCCCCAATCAGGAGGAGGGGGCCAGGTTGCAGGGAGGAGGAGGGGGAGGACGAAGAGAGGATGAGGGGGAGGGGGATTGATTGATTGATCACTTCGCTAAGCATGAGGCTAGGGCAAGAGGGAGGAGGGAAGCGGTAGGCGAGCCAGCTCGGACGCAGATGGCGAACCAACCCGCAAGGGCAGAGGCCAACCACGCGCCAGGCAGGCAAATACAACCCCCAACCAACCGTCAAAGCCTGGCAAGTCCTCTCAAGAACTCAGCAGGCGGCCCCAGCCGTCAGTGGGCACCCCGCCACGTCTGTAGTTGAGCGCAGCCCACGGATGCAGCGGCTGAGAGTGAAGCGAGTAGTACGCAGCTGACGCTCAACATCATCGGTAGCGAAGCTGCGTAAGGCAACACAGCCGAGTCCAAGGCTATTGCTGGAAGTTTGCGGGAAATCCACTGCAGGGATGTTATCCCACTGGGTGGAATCCCACCAGCCCTCTGGGCGTAGGTGGTCTAGGGAGCTTCCTCTTCCAACCCCCTTTTCTTCCCCCTCGGGGAGGGGCTTACCCTTCCCTCGACCCCCTCCCCTGGACCTGGACGGGAGGGTTCGAGAGCGGTCAGAGCTTCCAAGACGGCCCAAGACGGCTCCAAGGGGGGCTCAGAGAGCCCAAGATGAGCTCCAAGATGGTTCAAGATAGCGCAAGATGCCTCAAGATGGTTTCCAAGATGTTCCAAGAGGTGCCAAGACCGCCCCAAGACGGCTCCAAGAGGCCTCCGAGACCTCCAAGGAGGCCTCCAAGAAGCCAAAGTCATTCACCGATATAAGGACAACCAATGATGCTTGCCTTCTCGCCTTTTCGCTTCCGATGACCATCCAAGGCCTCAAAATAATTCCAAGATAACACAAAAGAATCCCAAGAGAGGCCAAAGAGAGCGCCAAGACGGCCCCAAGATCGCCCAAGAGTGCTCCAAGAGCGCCCAAAGAGTGGTCCGGGAGGCTATATTGGGGGCTCCCGGGGGGGGGGGCATAATCAGGGAACCCCCTTCTTTGATCGATCTCCTCCAAGATGGGCCGCGCGCTGTCCCAAGCTACAGCTAACAAGCAGGAGCCTAAATTGCACAGCTGGTGGGGGATACTTTTTTGTCAACGGCCTCGTGAAGCGGATCAAAAGGCGTCCAAACTCTAGCCTGGCGCTGGTGGGGGATACTTTTGGTCTGCGGGCTCGCGAAGCAGGTCGAAAGCCGTCCGAACTCCGGTCGGGCCGCGACTAGGCAGCAAGAAAAGAGAGGCAAGCGAAGCGAGCGCGCGGGCAGCCACTCAGAAGAAGAGCCGGAAACGAAACTCCCAACCCGGTGGCGTGGAGATGCTGGTGGGGGATACGCGAAGCGTCAACAAGTGTTGTTTCCAAGAACCCCCACCAAATTCACCACCCAACCCCATACGCACAATAAATCACACAACTCTTGCGTTCATATAAACACGGCACGCGGCACCAGCTCTTCACTGTGCACCTCACCACGTTCGTGGTCTGGGTGCAGCCCACGGAGGGTGCGGCTGAGATTCGAGGCAAGGCAAGGTGGGATGAGCGCGGTCACACCTTACGGTCTTTGGCCAACAAGCTGAATCTCACCCCCTCTGACGGCCCCACAACGAATACATATGCAGAATGTGGGTGCCGGAGTGGAAAATTCGATGCCCTTTCGGGTCTGCTGCCACGGCCCTCAATGTGGCACTTCCCCCTGGACAATCTGTGGCCTGCGCCGGAGGGTCGGAGTGGACCCTGAAAAGACAAGTCATGCATGCCCAGCGTCTCGGGGTCCACCCAAGGTGTGGCCGCGATGCGGGTCAACATGGGCGACAGGAGGAGGAGGAGGAGTAGAAGGAGGAGGAGGAGGGGCAGAGAGGAGGGGCAGAGAGGACAGAGGAGGCCGAGGGCAGGGAAGGGTTTGGGAGGATTCGTCCCCGTGGCACTTCAGGCAGCACCGCAAGACCCACCGCAGTAACATTCGCATGGTGAGCTTGTGGAGGGGAGCCTCCGATTCCCCCAGCCACTCCCGCCCTATTTAGCCTCCCTCTGTCGCGAGTGGGCGTCTCCCTGCTCCAGAGAATGAGGGCGCGGCTGGCACAGGGTAAGCGTAAATTGAGAGCGGGACACTGGTCAAACTCTGGCTGCATTTCGGCTTTGGCAGGCCGGTTGTGAGAAAGCGCCGCCGTCTTTGCGGCAGCGTCCGCAAAATTGTTCCCACAACAGTGCTTCCACTAATCCGAAAGCCGAGTAAAGCTGTCAGCATTTGAATGGGCCTTGACTGTCAAAAGACACCCTACCGACAGGGTATTCACTCCAGCGTAGTAGCAGGTTTGATCATACACTTTGGACGGGGGCCAGTGCGAAAGGCCAACCAGGCCTGCGTAGTCGGTCATAGCTGTTGTCACCTTCGCGCAATGCTCACAAGCAGCCAGAGATGCTACATGTTCTGCGGCAGCCAAGGTTTGGGGGAAACGCCTACCCACTCTGCCCGAGAGAACAGCATGTAACTCCCGATTTGGTGTAAGATCGACAATGGCCCATCCATCCATATGAAATTACCCCAGTGCGACCCTACCTAGAAGTTGGAGCCCCTGGGAAAGCAGAATTAGTTGCTATGCTATGCTATGAAATGCCATGCTATGCTACGCTATGTTACGCTATGCTATGCTATGCTATGCTACGCTATGCTGCGCTACGCTATGCTATGGTATGCTATAATATGCTATGATATGCTAAGCTATGCTATGTCCTGATGCGCTGCGCTATGTTAAGCTATGATTTGATATGATATGCTAGACTAAGCTGCGCTATGATATGATATGCTATGCTATGCTATGGCATGCTGCGCTATGATATGCTATGATATGCGATGTTTGGCTATGTTATGCTATGATGTGTTATGCTGATGCAGTGCTGAGCTATGATAAGCTAAGATATGCTATGCGATGATATGCTATACTGCGCTATGTCATGCTGTGCTACGCTATGCTATGCTATACTATGCTAAGCTATGATATGTCATGCTGCGCTGTGCTATGCTAGGCTATGATATGATATGATATGATATGCTATGCTATGCTGCGCTGTGCTATGCTATGCTATGCGATGCTATGCTATGCTATGCTATGCTATGATATGCTGCGCTATGCTATGCTATGTTGGGCTATGGAATGATATGCTGTGCTGCGCTATGCTATGCTACGCTATGCTATGCTATGATGTGCTCTGCTATGCTAAAGCTCAGCGAAGCTAAGATGAAGGTAAGCTAAGCAAATATAAACCTGAGCTAAGATGTACCTAAGCTAAGTTAAGATTGAAAAAAAAACTAAACTAAGATGAGATAAGCAACGCTAAGCTAAGGGAACGTCACTGGGGGAACCGCGGGGCGGATCCTGGGGGAACCGCCCGGGGCGTGGACCACTGCCCGGCCCTTTAAGCTTATAAAGTAAGAACCCTTCTAGGCAGAGCCTAGGTAGGGAAATAAAGCCTCCCTTCTTCAAAGTTTGACCCATCAATGAGCACCTTGCCCTGGAATGCGTATTCTGTCTTCAACGGTGACAGCTGGGTCCTGACACCAGAAAGAAAAGTGTTCGTGTCCAAACCCTTCGGGCGGTACGACCTGAAAGGCTGAGTCCTTCAGGAAACCTAAGAGCAGCGGATTCTGGTGCTCAACGTTCAGGAGGGCATGCCTGACAGAATGGGGAAGAGGTTCCTCCAAGAGAGGGCGGGTCAAGGGTATTCAAACGCCTGAGGAGGAGGGGGAGGGAAAGGGAGGTGGAGAGGGGGATGGACGGGAGAAGGAGGGGGGGAGAAAAGGCACGAGGGAGGGGAAGCGGGAGGGAGAGGAGGCGGGGGAGGGGGGGAAGGAGGGAGGAAGGGAAGGGGGAAGAGAGGAAGAAGAGGGTGAGGACG